AGCAGACGACAGTTCAGGTGCCGGTGAGGGATCAGGATTAGGCTCGGGGGCCGGGCATTTGGATGAGCATACTAGGGAGTTTCTCTCTTCTGAGATTACTCGCATCATACTTGAGCAGACTCCTGTGATCTTCGATTCGATCAAGGAGGGTATTCTAGAGCTGATGGACGAGAGGTTGAGCACATTCTGTGCGGAGGTGGCGGCCATGATGGGGTCGCGCACACTCACTTTCAGGGAGTTCCGGGCTTGTGGAGCTCCAGACTACCATGGGGCGCGGGACCCCATAGCGAGTACTAGGTGGTTGGCAGATGTCGCCAACGCTTTCCGCACCAGCAGATGTCCCCAGGGGACAAGGTTAGACTAGCATCCTGTCTTCTGAAGGACAGGACACGAGATTGGTGGGAGGAGATCGGACATGTCATCGGGGATGACGCAACTCTTGATGCGATGACTTGGGCTGATTTTACTACCAGGTTCAGAGCCGAGTTTGCACCAGTTATTGAGGTGTAACAGTTATCTATGGAGTTTCAGTATCTCACTCAGACTACAGAGACAGTGGCAGAGATTACCGCCAAGTTCAGGGAAAGGGTTCTTCTTGTTCCTCAGTACGCAGCTGATGAGGAAATGAAGAAGGCTCGTTATCATGAGATGTTGCGGAGTGATATCCGCCAATTTGTGAGCCGGTCCAGCTGTAAAACGCTGGATGATATGATTGCGAGGGCTCGCGAGAGAGAGAGATAGATTTGGAGATGGAGAAGAAGAGGAAGCCAAAGGCGGCATCTGGCACAGGGAGTTCGGGAAAAAAGCCCAAGGTATCAGATCACAAATCTAGACGACAGCAGAGCCATGATTGGTGTGGCAAGTGTGGGAGGTTGCACGATGGGGCGTGCAAGGCAGGTAGTACCGGTTGCTACAAGTGCGGTCGGACCAGGCATATGAGCAGAGATTGTACAGCTACTACCACCACCGCAACATCTGATCTGATTTGCTTCCATTGCAATCAGAGGGGACATAAAAAGTCCCAGTGTCCAAGTTTCGCAACAGCAGGGAAGGTCGTAGCACCTGCCCCTGCAACATTGAGGATTACAGACGGCCGCCAGGGCCGGGTTGAGGCGCCAGTGGCGAAGAGTAGAGCTTTTCAGATGACAGCAGAGGAGGCGTGAGCGACTCTTGATATGGTAACGGGTATGTATCCTTCTCTTATCTCTTTATTGATATTGATTGTTTCTTATGGTTATATGTTTTTATATAGGGTCACTTTTAGTGAACGACATTTCAGTTACAATATTGTTTGATTCGGGGGATACCTGATCATTTGTTTTGCTTGCACTTAGCAAGAGGTTTAGCAGAGCTCCGGGGGAGCTGGATTGCCCACTTGAGGTTGAGATAGCTAATGACAGGACCGTCAGGGTCGCAAGAGTGCATAGGGCGTGTTTTCTGCAATTAATTGATGAGCAATTTTCAGTAGACTTGGTTCCCATTCCCCTGCGAGGGAATAAGGTTATAGTGGGTATGAATTGGCTGAGCCCCAATGAGGCAGTGATTGATTGTGAGCTACAGTTAGTGAGGGTCCGCACCCCTGGTGGGGGAGAGTTAGTGATTCAAGGCGAGAGGCCACAACGTGGCTTGATTCTTTGTTCAGCAGTGAGAGTAGGATGCTACTTCTAGCAGGGTTGCTCGGGGTACGTTGCCTATGTTTTAGATGCCCGGGAGAAGGGTAAGGCGATTGTTAACGATGTACTAGTAGTACGAGAGTACCCGGACGTATTTCTAGAGGATTTGCCTGGGATACCTCCTAAGAGACAGGTCGAGTTCAGGATTGACCTGGTTCTTGGTGCAGCTCCGATAGCCAAGGCACCATATCGATTGGGTCCTCCAGAGATGTAGGAGTTGTCTACGCAGCTACAGGAGCTGCTAGACAAGGGTTTTATTAGACCGAGTAGTTCACCATAGGGAGCCCCGATCCTATTTGTGAAGAAAAAGAACGGGTCGTACCGTATGTGCATAGATTACCGGGAGCTGAATAAGGTAATGGTGAAGAACCATTACCCACTCCCCGAGGATAGATGATTTGTTTGACCAGCTTCAAGGAGCATCTTGGTTCTCTAAGATTGATCTGTGCTCCGGGTTATCATCAGATGCAGGTCAGAGGTGAGGATGTTTAGAAGACCGCTTTTAGGACCCACTATGGTCATTATGAGTTTGTGGTGATGTCGTTTGGCCTCACCAACGCTCCAGCCGCGTTCATGGACCTCATGAACTGCATATGCAGACCGATGTTGGATCGGTCTGTGATAGTGTTCATTGACAACATCTTGGTTTATTCCAAGACTCAGGAGTAGCATGAGGAGCACCTGATAGAGGTTCTAGAGACACTGAGGAGGGAGATACTTTTCGCGAAGTTCTCTAAATTCGAGTTCTGGTTGCATGAGGTGCATTTCCTTGGACACCTCGTCAACCAGAAGGGTATACTAGTAGATCCGGCCAAGATAGAGGCCATGATGCAGTGGGAGGTCTCGAGGTCTCCATCTGAGATTCAGAGCTTCCTAGGATTGATAGGGTACTACAGGAGATTCATCCAAGATTTATCCAAGATAGTAGTTCCACTCACCCGACTGACCAAGAAGTTGGTAGTGTTTCGTTGGGGGCCTGCGCAGCAGGCAGCATTTGAGAACCTCAGACACAGATTGTGCGAGGCGCGGATTCTTACCCTGCCAGAGGGTGTAGAGGATTTTGTAGTCTACTGTGATGCCTCGATTATAGGTATGGGAGTAGTGTTGATGCATCGGGGGCATTTGATAGCTTATGCCTCTAGACAGATGAAGCCTCACGAGGCTAACTATCTGACGCACGATTTAAAGCTGGGGGTAGTGGTGTTCTCCCTCAAGATTTAGAGGCATTACCTCTATGGGGTCCGTTGTACCATTTACACGGATCACAAGAGTCTGAGGTACCTCATGGATCAGCCGAATCTAAATATGAGGCAGCGCTGATGGTTGGACATGGTAAAGGATTATGATTGTGAGATCCTTTATCATCCGGGTAAGGCCAACATAGTGGCTAACACCCTTAGTCGCAAGGCGGTAGCCGCCCCGATCAGGGATATTTGTCTGAGGATGACCGTGATTACTCCCTTGTTGGAGCAGATTAGAGAGGCACATGTTGAGGGCCTGAAGGAGGAGAGGCAGAAGTGTGAGAGGATTATGGGCCGAGTAGCTTCCTTTGATTATGACAGTCGAGGATTGTTGACCCTTCATGGGAGAGTATGGGTACCGTACTGGGGCGGAGTACGACATGTGTTGATGGATGAGGCTCATAAGTCTCATTTCTCCATCCACCCAGGGGCGATGAAGATGTACAGAGATCTTCGACCCGATTATTTGTGGTCCTGCATGAAGCGGGACGTGGCCTGGTATGCGGGTGTTGATGGATGAGGCTCATAAGTATCAAGGGTTCATCCTCACTCCAATAACTTCCAAGCCTCCCCTAGAGGACTCAAAGTGCTTCAAAGGTTATTACCACTTCTTCCTTTTATGGTTATGTTTTAAATCTTTCTTATACTTGCAAGATGATCCTTGATGGGTGATAAAATGTTTATGCTATTTAATAAAACTCAAGTCTTCTGTTTGCCATTATTTGTAGTTTTTGAAACTAAGTTTTAAATAAAACCTAATAGTCTGCTAAAATATTTGTATCTATGTTATATGTTGTATTATGGTCTCTATTATTTGAGCTGATAGTAATTCATGCTAGCGATAGGATAAGGATCCCTCGGGAATTTCAGGATAAAGTCACCTGATTTATGTGATGCCTTATAGCCTAGGAAATTACTTGTGGATGATTTACTAGGGTTGAAGCTAAAATCACTAATTTCTTTGTGTATACTGCATTGTTGTACATAATTAGGATTTTATAGCCTTAGAATGTTTGGTTCGATTTTACTTATTGTTCCTTATCAGGTTGAGGATTTGGGGTTAAACCTTTTATTCGAGTGTCTGTTGAGTTTTTGTTATGTAAAATTAGTATGTGCGGAGCCATCGACGAGATTAGTGGAGACTTCTTGTAGAGCTGAGCTGTAGCTGGGAGGAGCCTAGGATGAGTACCTAGGAGCTGAGATGTAACACCTTGGAGCACTTTAGTGTGGTAGTATGGGCCCGTACTACTGAAAGCACATGATTCAAATATGGTTTAGAAAGAATCTCGAGTCTATTAGGGAATTATCTGTGATATTTATAGTGTTTGTATATGCTTTAGTATGTTTTGACCTTTTGCTTGTGTATTTCAGTATGGTGGTTACCCGAGGATCAGGCTCTGTCGACCTAGTGAGGAAAAGTGCAAGTGATGATGAGATTCGTAGGAACATTGTCGTAGAGGTGGTCGTGGCGATACGGGAGGTTATTCCAGAGGTGTAAAACCATTGGAATCATTATTAGTAATAGTCTTGGTGGTGACAATATCATTTTTGGAAGGTGTAAGAAACATTTTGAGAAGTATGAAATGCTACATTTTATTTTTTAATAATTTTGATAAATACTCTATGAAGTTTTATGGAAGTGGTTTTAGTCACTAAGCTTATAGCTTATTGTGTATATCATAAATGTGTTATTTTTAGGAATTGAAGGAGTTAAGAATCAAAGTCTTTTGGGAAGAAGGAATATTATAGCAATCACTTTTGTATACTGTTAAGAACATTACTAAAATCATCCCTATGGTTTGTTAAAATTACGTGTTTGGTTCCTAACTTTTTTTCTCACTTGGATTGTCCCTAACCTATCAATTTGTTTCATTTTATAGTCCATTTATAGTCTCTTGTATAAATAAAAGACCATATTGTCCTTTGTATTTTCCTTTTCATATTTTTTACTACCTATTAATTATAAAATATACTAATAAACATGGTGATGGAATAAAAACTTTAGTAGGATCGAAATGCTCTAAACAGTAAATAAAATAATAAGAAGAGACACAAGAATGGCTCAAACGATGGTTAATGATTAAACTCAAACACCCCAGAAGAGCTCGATGAAGAACTTCGACTGTAGAGGTGTTTTAGGATTACAAAAGATAATCTATGCAATAGAATCAACAACGTATCTAATGCATACATGCATGCACTATATATACTACATAACCCTAATAGAACACGGATGGACAGGCCCAATCCGGTTAATACAAAATAAGCCCATGACGTAACATCTTTGTCTTACAATCTCCCCCTTTGCGTCCATGGAACCTGAAGAGGCCTTTAGATCAATCAATATATCAAACAATGACAGTAAACAAGAACAAGAGGAATTCACGAAGAAAAACTTTCACTAAGAAAGATAATCTCACAAAGAGATTATCGTGTGCACAAAGCAGCGATTAGGGTTTGTGAAAGGCGTAACCATTCACAAACCTATACAAAAGATTATATACTGCTATTCTAGACAATCCCTACAAATCAGGGATACGCCAGCTAACTAATTAGGCTAACTATGGAAACAAGATAACTATAAGATCTGTTACAATGCACTGAATAAATTAAACTATTACAAACTGAGCTACTGAGACGTTGATGCTGATACTGAGATACGCGCTGATGCTGAGGTCTATTTTAAACATTATCATATTTCAAGGTTTGACCTTTCAATCTCCCCCAATATGATGATGTTCAAAACAAACTAAATTATAACACCTCTGGACAGGAACTCTTCATACTCAGCTTCAGCTTCTATTTTTACTGGCCAGTAAGGACTATCCAACAACTCTTGTCTTTTGTTCAGCAGCTCCATGGCAATAAGAATGTGAAACTCTCCGGATAGATCTTGATGACTCATGCACATTTGCCTTAAGCCAACGAGATGAGTGGTTGGAGCCTTTGGGATCTCAGCAGTTCGCTGAAAACACATCCTCCTGTTTTTATCAAGATAGAACATCCCGTGTTCAGGATCTGAGATAAACTTATGCTGAACCGGATCAACACTGATAGGAAGAGAATTGTTTATTCCACCGGCACCAAAGTCCAGAACCAATACATCTTCACCATCAACTTGAAACTTGGTTCTTCGAGTTCTAGGAACAGATAACCTTTGGCCTTGATGCTGAGGTCGTTCTTTAGGAACAAGATCCAAACGCTGAACTTTCTTGATCAGCAGATGAAGAGCACAAGTCAGTTCCGAAGAGTGAGCTGAGGTTTGCTTGGATGCTAGTTCGAGTAGTTCCATCCAGTTAGAATATCCATACTTGATCAGCTCATCCCTCTTGACAACTTCAGTGTATGACTGCTGAGGACCTTGACGAGTGATCAGCAACGTAAGAATTTTCTCATTTCGTGGTTTGGAGGCTTTAACTTTGATGATCTTATCAACACACACTCGTCGTTTAAGAACGTCTTCAAACCTTTTTCGATCAATCCGGTCAAGAACACTGTCAGTCTTAGGCTTACTATGGCTAGGAGGAGTTTGAGAAGACTGAGCTTTGGACTGAAATTCCAGGAATTTCTGCATCTGAGCTTCAAAAGATCCCTTGGCCTAAAGTTTGTGCTGAATAAGAGATTCATCAGCTTGAGCAATGTTCTTTAGAAGTTGAGCTTGATTAGCTTCATCAAGAATTTGCTTAACTTGATCAGGAGACATGTTCCATTCAGCCGCAAGATTTGTATACTGAATATGGACTTGGGTTTCTTGGCAGGCAGAGAAGTATCAGTTTGAGAATGAGCCAAGTCAGTATCTGTTACCTTACGCTTTCGAGATAGCGGATGAGAGTCTTCACTGGCAACGTCTGAATCTTCTCCTTGGACCGGAATGATGGGATCAGCAACAGGATTGACTGATCTCATGTCTGGACACTGAGATTCATTATCAAGATCATCAGAACTTTCTTCTTGAACTGGAATAAGAGGATTAATGAAATTCATATCTAGTATTTGACATTCATCGTCTGGTTCATCATCATGCTCATTATCTTCAACTAGCTTTTCAGTAGCTACTGGACTATTATGCCCCGCAGAGTCAGACTCAGGCATTGGCTTGGGTGATTCAGGCTGAATAATGGTGTTGTCAACAGGTTCTGTGTCTCTCTCATTCGGTTCACCATCAGCATTATCATCAGCATCAGCATCATCATCAGTATCTCCCCCTTTTTGAGCATCATCAGATTGGGGACTAGAGGGGGGAGTATGCAGTAGAACCTCCTTTAGCTGTTGAACATCAGCCCCAATGCGAAGAAGACGTTGACTCATGTCCCGAGTCAGTGTCATAAGTTCAGTAAATGCTGAAGCCGGAATTTGAACAACTGAAGTAGCTGGAGCGACTGGTGAGCTAGGTGGCATCCCCGGAGAATATTGGTGAGCTGCTGGTGACGGTTGCTCCCCCTGAAATTGTGGATTCTCCCCCTGTGAGGGATGCTCCCCCTGAAATTGTGGATTCTCCCCCTGTGAGGGATGCTCCCCCTGAGATGGTTTCTCCCCCTGATTCATTGAATCCTTTGGTGCTGAGGGAACTTTGTCAGTATCCGAGACGATATGATGAGAAAGTTGAGGAGAGAAATGGCCACCATCATGTTGTTCATCCTCTTGATCAGCATGATCTACATGGTTACCATCAGCGCCTCCTTCATCAGTGTCAGTAGTGAGAGAGGGAACAGTGTATGGATTTGCAATCCATTCTCTCATTCTATCCGAGATTCCAATGTCAGAATCCAGGGGATCATCTTGATACATGCGAACGGACATGCGAGGGTATTGGATGGGATTTCCAGAATGCGAGAAGTAGTCTGCAGCGAAAAATTTGTCTAGCACAAGTGCAATCCAGCGTGGAAAAGGAACATGATCAGCGCGTACATTTGCACGAAGAAGCTGAACAAGCTGATCAAAGAATAGGGCCCCATAATCAAGTCTTTTGTTGAGAAGAAGTGAGCAGACGACTTGTTTCTCATAATTATTCAACTGATCACCACTTTGAGACTTGTGACCCACACACTTGCATAGAGCACCGGTGATTGGCACAAAATAAGAGCTGATCGAGTACCAGCCTTTGAGTGATCATAACCCAGTTGATCAAACATACGTCTACACCGTTCAATAGTGGGAGGTTCAGAGAAAGGTTCAAAGATAGGTAACCTTAAGGCAGCACTGAGAAGTTCTGCGGTGATGAAGACAGAGTGTCTTCCATGGCCAATAGTCCCGGTGATGGCATTGTTGTCGTCATTGACAGTTGCAGTGTAGTAGAACTCACATACTTGTTCAGGGAAGAACTCGGATGGAACGTCACTGATTGCGTATCGTAGGCGGCAAGAAGCTAAGAAATTGACAAAATCATCGAGTCCAAGACCTCGATGAACCTCTGGAATATCAGGGTTGAAAACAACGTTTGTAGCCTTGATGTGAATTGGAAGAGGAGGAGAGTTTGGGGCAGGAACTACCCTTCGTGAAGTGGAGGAGTAAGTGAACTGAGATGCCGCCATTAGAGAGTTTTTAGAGTTCTAGGGTTTTGAGGGAAGTTTAAAATTGTGGAAGGAAAGTTTAAATCAAGGGTGAGAGAGGTTTAAATATGGAATGAAAAGGGGCTTTAAAAAGGTAATGATTATCTTCATTAAAAAGGTGATGATTATCTTCATTAAAAATAACGGCGTATCGTAACAACCTGTCAGATCAGAAAATAGCCGTTGGGTAAAAGAGCCGTTGACTGAAGGTGAAACGTCAATCAGTGTTTGCGGAAGCGCTGAGATCAGAGTCACAAAAGTTACATGCTGAAAATATTTCTCCGTCAATTCAAGGTACAACTTGCTTAATAGGGCTAGCAAGGAGATTGGTGCGTGTGATAGATACTAGTTATATTATCTAACCATCGGCACAGAGTGTTGTGACTTTATCAGTGAGTGGTTTATCTTACTAAATCATTAGACACTGAATAAGACGAAGGTAAAGAAAGGATTGTTGCGTGTGATAAACCTTGGTGTTTTGGTCTAACCATCGGCAAAGATTTTTAGACTCTCATCAGCGTGTGTTTTGGCACACTGAATCACAGAATCAGTGTAAGATTGGTAAGAAGGGATAGTTGCGTGTGATAGATCTTGGTGTTTTGATCTAACCATCGGCAAAGATTTTTAGATTCTCATCAGTGTGTGTTTTGTCACACTGAATCATGAAATCAGTGTAAGATTGCTAAGAAGGGATAGTTGCGTGTGATAGATCTTGGTGTTTTGATCTAACCATCGGCAAAGAGTTTCAAGTTGTTATCAGTGTATGGTTTAATACAGTGAATCATTCAACTTTAGTTTAGAAGACTTGAAGAAGAGAGAAAGATAGGAGATCAAACCAAGTATTCAGTATGCAAATATTACCAGCATGTCATCATCAGCACAATGTACATCAGCTTATAAGACAATACCAAACATTAACACAATTAAACAGCAAAATTAATTACAAGGTAATCATTCCAAGTTCTCCAATAATGTAAGCAGTTGTTTTAGAATCCAATGCCTTAGTGAAGATATCAGCAAGTTGCTCTGAAGTCTTGACATTTTCAAGAACAACCTTTCCCTTTTCAACATTATCTCTGATGAAATGATGTTTGATTTCGATATGCTTTGTCTTTGAGTGCTGAACAGGGTTTTGTGTGATTTGAATGGCACTGGTGTTATCACAATATATGGGAGTCTTTGAGAAATTGATCCCATAGTCGAGAAGCTGATTTTGAATCCATAAGAGCTGAGCACAACATCTCCCAGCTGCAACATACTCAGCTTCTGCAGTTGAGATGGCTACTGATGTTTGCTTCTTGCTAGACCAGCTGATGAGACGATTTCCAAGGAAGTGACATCCACCAGATGTACTCTTTTTGTCTAAATTGCATCCTGCATAGTCTGAGTCAGTGTATCCAAAAAGGTCAAATGCTGAGTCGTGAGGATACCACAGTGCTAGGTTTTGAGTCCCTTTCAAGTATCAAAAGATACGTTTGACGGCCATGAGATGGGATTCCTTGGGATTAGCTTGGAATCGAGCACAGAGAATGGTTCCAAACATGATATCAGGACGACTTGCCGTGAGATATAAAAGAGATCCAATCATTCCTCGATACAGAGAGTGATTTACATCAGTTCCAGTTGGATCAGCGTGTATCTTATCAGTCTTGGACACTGGAGTAGAGGCTGGTTTGTAGTCACTGAGAGAATACTTAACAAGCAAGTCAGAAATATATTTACTTTGGCAAATGGAAATACCTGACTTTTGTTGCTGAACTTCAAGACCTAAGAAAAAGGTCATCTTCCCCATCATGCTCATTTCGAACCTTTGAGACATGATCTTTGCAAATTCCTTGCTCAGTGTCTCATTTGGAGAGCCAAAAATGATGTCATCGACATAAATTTGAACAAGAACCATATCTGAGCCTTTGTTTTTGATGAAGAGAGTATTGTCGATTGCTCCTCGTCTGTATCCATTTTCAAGTAGATACGATGTCAGCGTCTCATACCAAGCCCTGGGTGCTTGCTTCAGTCCATAAACAGCTTTGTCTAATCAGTACATGTAATCAGGATGATCTTTGTCCACAAAGCCTGGGGGCTGATTGAGGAATACTTCTTCTTCTAACATACCATGGAGGAATGCTGTTTTCACATCCATCTGATAGACAATGAAATTCATGTAGGATGCGTATGCGAGAAACAGTCTGATTGCTTCAATGCGAGCAACTGGAGCAAAAGTTTCCCCGTAGTCGATGGATTCAATTTGAGTAAACCCTTGAGCTACAAGCCTTGCCTTGTTGCGAGTAATGATTCCATCTTTATCAACCTTGTGACGATAGACCCAGCGAGTTCCGGTGATAGTCTTCCCTGATGGTCTTGGGACAAGAGTCCAAACTTTGTGCCTTTCAAACTCATTCAGTTCTTCTTGCATGGATTTGATCCAATCAGCATCTAGAAGAGGCTGATTCCGGAGAATTTGACACTGACAAGTTATCAGTTGCAGGAGAGACTTCAGCTTCAAGGATTTCATCAGCACCTAATGAATTATCTGTTGATCTGGTTGTAGTATCTTGATTCAAGGAACATGGAACCGGAATAATAGAATCAGAAGAATCAGCTTCATCTCCAGCAGGAGGGACTTCGTCAAATGGACAAGAGAGAAGCTCTTGAAAAATAGAAGAGGAATGAGTGACCTTTTCATCAGTGTATGATTCCTCATCAAACTTTACATGAATGGATTCTTCAATGCATTGCCTGTTCACATGAAAAACACGAAAAGCCTTTGAAATGGATGAGTACCCAACGAAAATACCTTTATCAGCCTTAGGTTCAAACTTGGATCTTGGGTCACGCTGATTTAGAATATAACAAATACATCTGAATACATGAAAAAAGGATACATCTGGCTTACGATCTTTCAGCATTTCATATGGTGTCTTCTTATGAATCCTGTGGATTAGAGATCGATTCTAAGTAAAGCACACTGTATTGACAGCTTCAGCCCAAAACGACATAGGAAGACCAGCATGGATCATCAAGGTCCTTCCTGCCTCAATCAGTGTTCTATTTCTTCATTCAGCAACTCCATTTTGTTGAGGAGTACGAGGAGCTGAGAAGTTTTGCCCAATTCCTTTATGATCACAAAATTCTTCAAGAGTTGAGTTTCAGAACTTAGTACCATGATCACTTCTTATCTGCTTGACTTTGAGACCTGTCAGTGTCTCATTTTTACGAATTAGTGAGATAATTTCCTGTGCAGCATGACTTTTCTTCTTCAGGAAAACTACCCATGTAAATCGAGTGAACTCATCCACAACCACTAGAGTATACTTATTTCCACCTAGAGAACGGACAGGAATAGGTCCAAACAAGTCCATGTGGAGTAAATGAAGAGGGACTGATATACTGGAACATGACTTGGGTTTGAAAGAGGACTTGGTTTGTTTTCCTTGTTCACAAGCTGAGCACATCTTGTCTTTCACAACGCTGAATTTTGGGAGCCCTCTAACTAGATCTTGATTGGATATTTTGGATAGGTTCTTGAAGTTCAGATGAGAGAACCTTTTGTGCCAAATCCAGCTAAGATTCGTCTTAGACTTTGTAAAGAAGCATTGCATCAGTGCCTTGTCACTCGAGAACATGTCAAGAACATATATATCATCTTTTCTACTTGCTGAAAGTACGATGTTCTTGTCAGTGTTTACAACTCTGCCTTCCTTCTTTGTAAAGTGAACTTCATAGTCAGCATCACACAATTGACTGATGGAGATAAGGTTGTGTTTGAGACCCTTTACATATGAAACATTTTGAAAAAACACGTTATTGCATTTGATATTTCCATATCCCTTAGTGAACCCCTTTCCATTGTCTCCATAAGTAACTGCAGGACCAGTTTTCTTGACATAATCTTCCAGGAGAGACTTTGATCCTGTCATATGCCTTGAGCAACCATTATCTAAGTACCAAAGATGCTCCTGACCCTGCAGTGCTGAGAAACTAGTTAGAACACACTGACCCATTCGAGGATGGGTCATTCACAAAGTTATTTGATAATAGATTATAACACTCCTTAGGAAGACAGTTTAAAGAATTTGACTTAAGAGTCCATTTTTCATTTCTAACTTTAATATTATCAGCTCTTGAGGATGATTTATCAAAGGAACATTCACTGATCTTGTGAGAGGTATCACCACATCTGTAACAAACTCTAGTACCAAAGTTCTTCTTGGTGAGCAAATTTTAGATTTAACACATTTCGACATGTAAGATTCACCAAAAGAGCTTTGAATCCTTTTGTTTATCATTGAGTCACAACTGAATTCAGTGTTAGAAGGAATTTGATCAGTGTTAGATATGAGCTATCAGTGTCTGATTTTGACTTATTCACAGATGAATTGCAATCAGGAAAATGCTTAAGTTGTTCATGAACATCATGAAACACTCCATTTGAGATAGGAAAGGCAATAATATTCTCAGTGAGTGGAGTAGGTCTTAAAAGATGTGCAGGGTAAGAGGTTGGATCAATTCCGGTAATTTCAACATTACACTCAGTAATATCATCAGAATTAGTAATACAGTATTCATCAATTAAACTCTGATTAATAAAAGAGTTACTAACAAACTTATTTTTGAAATTGTTTTTCATCTCATTCATGGAATAAAACTCAGACTCCTTTTCTTGTGATTTAAAAACTTTTTCAGCTTCTGCAAAATTACCCCAAGAATTTTCTCACATGAATGTGGAATTTGAGCAGAAATAATATAGTTTGCATTCTTATGAGATTTTGTCCAAGTATGAAGCATATTTTGTTCTTTGATCAAAAGATTTTTAACATTGTCAATCTCAGCAGACAAAGATGAATTTGACAAACTAGTGATTCTAAGATTTTCCTGAGTGGACTCAATAATGTTATTTTTCATGGATATATCAGATTCAAGAAGATCAATTTGATTTTGCAAATTTCTTATTGTTTGATTCTTCTTAGAATTAATGACGCCCA